TAACATACAATAAATTTATCTTTAAACTTGTTTAACCGCTCGAGTTATTCTAATATTAACTAACTAAATCAAATAAAGCAAAAGGGAATTTTTGTTAAAATCATCTTTTAGTTCCTATTTCTTTGAATTGAATGATAATAAATCGTTGAGCAACAATTTTTTATCAAATCAGATAGGAAATTAGTACTTGCGTCTTATAACCAGATTTGAATTTGCAAGCAGTTTTAGGTACTCGACTTTACCTATGCTAATAAGTTCATGTACCAGCACATATCAGCACAGTTCATATGGCACCAGTACATACATGATGATATATGAACACCCAATTAATCTGAATTCTAAGCTATATTGAAATGTTGAAAACTGCATAATACTGACTTCACATAACATAACTGCCTAAGTGTTGTTTTTTGTTCATTTTTCACCCTTCATTTTTTTGTTGTTTTTACCAAGCTCCGCATTACTTATTGAGAGTTAATGTACGTTATCTCGAAGAAAAAAATGAATGACCAATGAATGAACAGAATCTCAACCTTTTCTGTAATATCTTGAAAATAAGCTTTGATTCATTTTCGTATTAATGTTTAAGGGTAATAATGGACCGTTTCTGATGTATCTCAAACATTTGCGTAACCGTTTATCGACTTTAAAATTTTTCTATGGGATTTAACATAGAGATTTCGATGGATTTTTTCTGTTGAATAATAAAATATATTCAAAATATTGAAAATCACTTTTAGCAGGACTCATGTCTTTGTGATGTATATTGAGTTTCAAGATGCTGCGATCAATTGCCGGCCAAAGCGGGGCGTTTGTCTGTATATTTTCAATGCAAGATAATGAGATAACGAAGCATTGTAGAGGAAATCTAAAAAATCCATTCGTTAGGCCTTATTGTGAACTATCAATAAGACAAGAATCAGGTTCGTAATATTATCAATGCGGGCCCAAATAACCCGAAAAGTTGGCAACTTTGACCTTGAATAACTCAAAAACGGTTAATCGCGCATAAAAATTAATATTATTTTTGAGCTCATCTTTGAAAGTTCTACTTAGAAAAAAAGTTCCGCATCTTAACTCAAAAGGATAAAAAAGTGAAGATTTCTGGAGACCCTCCTTCACAACTTTGCGTTTTTGATTGCGTTGAGCTTTAAATATGGCTATATTATCAATCAAATGGATGTTAAGACTGCTTACCTTAATGGTAAACTAGAGGAAGATATTTACATGGAGCAACCTGAAGGGTTTATTGAAAATGAAGATCTAGTTTGTAAATTGAAAAGAAGTCTTATGGACTCAAGCAATCGGGTAGAGCTTGGAATTTTTTATTCAATGACTTCATGATGAAAATTGGATTTAAACGAGTCCAACCAGATAACTGTCTATATTTTCGAGGTGAAGATAACAAAAAGATATATTTGCTTTTATATGTCGATGATCTTTTATATTTGGTAAATCAACTCAACATAAAATTCTTGAAAGAACAAATGTGTTCACAATTCATGATGAAAGATCTTGGTCATGTCAGATCATTCTTGGGTATTTAGTTTGTTGTTGATGATAAAATTGGAACTGCAAGCTTAAATCAATCAAAATACATCAAAACTATTCTTAAACGTTACAATATGGACAATTGTAAACCAGTAATAAACCAACTACAATCTATGAAGATAACCAATGTGCTATAGCATTGAGTAAAAGACCCTGTCTGTCAATCCAAAACAAAGCATATTGATATAAAATATCATTTCATAAGAGAAAAGGTTCAACAGAAAATTATGAATGTTGAATATATTTCAACACAAGACATGGATTGCTGATATCATGACGAAAGCATTACCAAGAGAAAGTTTCGAAAAATTCAGGGCAAAAATGATGATAATGTGATCTGAGAGGAAGATTTGGTAACAATGAATATTTCACATTATCTTGGTTATGATTGTTGCTAAACAATACTGTTTCAAAGGCAACAATTAGTTAAGTTAATTCAATGTTAAATAATTAAGTATTTAACCATTTTCTCGATATAATATCTTACTATTTAGTATTCGCTAATTCATTAAGTAACATACAATAAATTTATCTTTAAACTTGTTTAACCGCTCGAGTTATTCTAATATTAACTAACTAAATCAAATAAAGCAAAAGGGAATTTTTGTTAAAATCATCTTTTAGTTCCTATTTCTTTGAATTGAATGATAATAAATCGTTGAGCAACAATTTTTTATCAAATCAGATAGGAAATTAGTACTTGCGTCTTATAACCAGATTTGAATTTGCAAGCAGTTTTAGGTACTCGACTTTACCTATGCTAATAAGTTCATGTTGAGGTTTAACTAACAAACTCTGTCGCTAAAACTTTTGCCCAGTTAAAAATATTGTTTGCAATATAATTTTACTAATTATCTCATCATGGACTACATATGGTGTATACTGGAAATACTCATGGATTTTTCACATTTTGCTGTTTTATCAAAGTGACTGAGTAAACATGTTATAATAGAAATGATTATTTAGCATTGATAATAACTGATGTTCAATCGAACGGGTTCAATAATTAGCATGACGATTGAAGTAGATCTCAGGTTCATGGAGACGATGATAAGAACGAATAAAAATGCTGAGTTGAGTGGAAGTCGCAATTAACGTCGACAACATCAACAAGATGATTTGATTGATTAAGATAAGGTCAGAGCAGCATAAAAGGTTGGTGACGAAGGAAACAGACTTCAGTCTTCTCCTTTTGAATCAATACGATTGGAGAATCAAATCGAAATGAAGATTTTTCTTAGTATTTTGGCACTTCTTGTTGTCTCAGCTTGTGCTGGTCAACTCAAACCCAAACCTTTAGGTAAGTCTCATATTCATTAAATATGAAAATGTTATGGCTACTTAATATTTGTTTGTTAACTAGTTGTACTGAGAAACTGATTATTAAATTGTTTTGTGATTTCTTTTCACTTCTCAGAGTTCGAGGAAAATAAACGATATGTATATGAATACATTGGAAGCGTTGTTACCGGAATCCCATCCAGTTCAAGTCTTTACTCTGGAACTCGATTGCAGGCTAATGTTGAGATTTCCCACATTGTTAGTGAAAATGGTGTTCATTTGAACGCAATGCGTTTGGCCAACATTAGTTTTACTCAAGTCCTTGATGAAATAACTAACCCAGATGATGTACATTTTGGCGATTTGGATAAAGAAAATTCCGAGAAGAAAGAACTTTTGGAATTAACTGTTCAATATCACGTCAATGATGTAACCAAACATTTTGAATGGGTCGAAGTTGATAAAATGGACGAACCATGGTCACTCAACATTAAGAAAGCCATCATCGAGATGTTTTTGGTCGACATTGCTGGTAAACAGTTGAAAATGAATCATAATCATGAACATGATTTAACTAAACATTCACGAGATGAGGTTCATCAATCTTTCGATGTCTACGAACCAACATTAAAGGGTGAATGTGAAACCATGTATCAAGTCATCAATGCCTTACCTGAAACTGTCTCTGGTTTACCTGGAAGTGAACAATTCTACTGGAAAGTCATCAAGACACGAAACTACCAAAACTGTAACAACGCATCTGAATTGACTCGCCATAACTGGGCACGAAATTGTGCTGCACACTGCAAAAAAGCACCAATTTTGGATAAATTCAAAATCAACAACTATTATGCAGGTGAAAAATCTGAATGCTCTTGTGACACTCAAGATCCTCTTGACCAACAGTCAACCAGCACTTACTCCATTGAATGCATGGAAAATCCCTACATTTTGAATGCTGAAAGTAACAGTAAAGTTATCTTCGACAATCATGGCACTCGATTCATTTCCTACACCAACCAGACTCTTAGATTCGTCAGAATCTCAGGTGCGCCATTGGATCTTATCAATGAAAACAATGCTATTCGAGTTTCAAACCTAGCCTTCAATCTTTACCCTTATGCTGGTTCATTTGCTAGCGTATATACTCATGAGATTCCAATATACAACCTTTTGGTTCCAATGCCTCCACGAAACTATGTTGCAAGATTCAGATTGAGAGAATTTACTTATAATCTTTTAACTCAAGTTGCTGAAACCATAATTGGAAAAGCAAATGACGAAAAAAATGAAAATAAAAACCAGCTTAATGTTGCTCGAATTATGACAAGAATTATTCAAAATCTGGCTCATCTTGATTTTGGCACAATCATGGATGTCTACAAAGAAAACTGTATCGTTAAAGAGGATCAACTTTACACCAACACTTTGAATTCAGTTCGAAGACAATTGTTTCTTGACGCTATTTCTCATGTTGGAACCCATGAAGCTGTCATATGGCTGGACGAAGTAATGAATTTAACTCCGAATGGATTATTCCCAATTGAAGTACGCCAGATTGTCGAAACATTACCCCTCAATATTCATGTCCCACCCACAAGTTTGATTAACTTATTACAGAAGAAGATTTATTCTTGTATTGTTCAGCAAGATTGGGATTCCCTTTCTGCTTTTGTCGTCGCTTATGGTAAACTTATAGCCAAAGCTT